TCAAGAGCACTGAAAACTCTCAAGATTGATGAGGACAAAGTTGAGGACGAGAGGGAGTAAACTCGAGGAATTCTACAGCCAAGAGGGCCCTTAAATTGAAGAACCCAACCTTATCGATCTTTTAAAACTTGAGGGGAATTCCATCATGTAAAGATTTATTAGGGATGGCCAGTTTATTGCAGAACGCCAGGGGTTTAACTACTGCATCGCACGCGCTCAAGAGTAGAGCTGGCTTCTGTACTCGGACGATCGAGGAAGCGTCCTTCGCGTTTGGTGGTTGAGTTACCGTTGTATGTTGCCCCTTGCTCGTTTTTGCACACTAGGGTTGCCATGGCATCTGAACAATTAAGGAACAATATGACGTTCAATTCGGAGATTAAATAAGGGATTAATTAGGGATTGATCTGGAATTACTGTTTTGAACTTATTTTGTTAATTTGACTGTTTTGTCTTCAGGGGTCTATTTGTGGAAAAACAATTCTCTCTCTCTCTCTCACTCACTAAAATTGATAAAATAGAAATCTAATGTGGCATGATCTCAACCTTAAAAAAAGTAATATAAACGGTAAGAATTGAGAGAATTAGACCCTTTCCAATTATCACCTAATTGGAGAGGGTACGGACCCTATGTAAATCTATGTAACCATAATCATTAATCATATCAAGACTTCTTCAATTCTTGTCAAACAGTAGGAAGGGTCAACATTGAAACTGAATTTTCTACTAGATATGTATGTATCTGAACATAATTACGACAAAATTTGAGAATATTGCAATTTAAATTTGTCTTAATCGGGCAGGTTGCTATGGAGTTAGGATTCCCTTATAAGGAAAATGTTCTCTCTTAGGAATGCACGGAATTTGCATGTATATATTAATCTATAGAAATTTAATGGAAATCTATACAGGGTTTAATCAAGAAATTACAAGCAGAGACGTTGGTGTTTATGATAAATGAAAATGAGTGTAATTTATGAAAAATATTTATTCATTATGTTAAAGATTGGGCTAAATATTAGAAAACTCCCTTAGCTATGGACAATTATCAGGTAACCCCCATAACTACAACAATAGGAAGAACCCTACCCCCACCCAATTTCTGATAACCCATATACTTAAGTGAGGCTCGCGTGGGCAACTCGCGCCCAACTCGTAGTGAGGGAATAGGGGGTGGGCCCCACAAAGCCGTGCCCTCACCGCGAGTTGGGCGCGAGTTGGCCCCGCGCGAGCCAAATAGCATTTTGGTTTTGTAAGTTATGGTGGATGTTTCTAACCTTAGGCTTTTATCAACATAACAGGATAAAACATCAAGGATTTGTATTTGTCAGAATAGTATTGTACAACGTAGGTGAATATATAACAAACATTTGTGTACGTGTATTGAACAGAAATAACAATATGCAGAAAATTACAGCCGGACATGTTTTGTTTCTGTCCGGTCGACCGCGACCAAGAGTGCGCTCGACCGGAAACGTGCACAAGTACAAGGCAATTTTTGGATCTGGTCGGTCGGCCGCGAGGCTAGGCTGCGGTCGACCGCAGACCCTGTAAACTCAAAGGTGATTTTTCTGTATTCTGGCCGTCGACCGCGAAGACTTGGCGGTCGAAAACGCGCGTCGGGTTAGGGCCTGGTTTTTAGTTTCCTATTCTGTTTGGGTTTGCTGTTTAATATAAATAGAAACACGATTTTAGGGTTTTGTTTATTAGAGAATAGAGAGTATTCTGATAACTTTGAGAGAGAGAACTTATGAGAGAGTTGAGAGATCATTGGTTAGAGTTTGTTCGAGTGTTTGAGTGATTATACCCCTTTTGTACTCTCCTTGATATAGTGAAATCTCCCTATCCTCTCCCTGTGGACGTAGACAAATTGCCGAACCACGTATATCTCTGTGTTTGTGATTGATTTATCGTATTTGTTTGGATTGTGCACGTGTTTGCTTTGTTAATCTTATCCCGTGGCTTACGGACTCGTTCGGTGTGCGAGCACGCTTCGGCAAAGGCGCGCAACAATTTGGTATCAGAG